GTGGTTGGGATAATACATATATAAGTCTTGCATATACTGGAGAAGTAATCTGAACCATTGAAAGGGTAGAGGGATGAGTGGCGTGAAATTGTTCTCGTGAGTGTAGTTGAAAATCACATGTACACTAGTTCTTTGTACAATATTTTATAGAAAATCACATGTACACTAGTTTTTTGTACACCGCTCCAGATATGATTTTTATAAAAATCACATGTACACTAGATGTACACACGTTATAGACTAAAGTTTTGTTTGATAGATGTACACACGTTAGAGACTTGATGGATTCAGTATCATTGTGTACATTTGGTGGCCTTGTTATTGTACAGCTGACAAGAATTCGTTTATAAAAATCAGATGTCCACATGTATAATGTTTTATAGAAAATTACATTTACATTAATTCTTGTACACTGCACAAGTTATGATTCTTATAAAAAATACTCATGTGTACAATATATGATATCTCATGTTTACAATATATGATATCTCATGTTTTTAATGACTTTTAGCATTTCGTTTTGTGTTAACATTATTGTGAGTTCATGAAGTCGTAGATGTTTAGTTATTTAGATAGAAAACCTACTAAAAAGTGTACACAATAATTTTGATGTATAATACAAATTAAGTGTACACATGTACAGTTTGAATGTAATGTACACACGAATTGTTTTTCATTAATGTTGAAAAATTACCAAAATGACCTCATCTTCTTCCTTAGCCATTTTCGACCAGAAACCCCAATTTCTGTCGAAATCGACAATTTTCTATGATTCTTTACATTTTTAACTTGTTTTTAATGTATTTTGTACCCAGATATGTTAGCTTTCAATCCTAATTCATGGATCTGAAAAGTTTGAAAAAATGTGATTTTTTTTTGTTTCAAATTTGTTGAACGATTTGTTCCAAATCGTTACGTTTGAGTGTTCCCTTCTTAAAAACGATGTCTGATTAGGGCTAATCAAGACATACAACGACAAATTCTCAGAAGGGTATGTTGAAAGAAATTGAAAAAAGAAATTGATGAGATTTAACACCAGTTTCTTAAGTAATTCCGTAAAAGTTATTTTTTTGAAAAAAATAAAAACGATTTTAGAAGGGTTGTGATGAAATCCCATCAATAAAATAAAGAATAGATATAAAACTTAGTTAGTGTATGGAATTAGTTAGAAATTTATTTAGTTAGCTTTTAACTATAAGATGAGCTTAGTTAAATAAAACTACCTTAGGAGCAGAATCTGCCTTTTTGTGATATAAAAAAGTAGAAACTGTCCTAGAGTGATATAATTTCATAATAAAAGGGGAATATTAACTCCATTCAGCCTATCCATGTAAGACAAAAAATCAACCAATCATATCTATCAATATTACCACGTCATTTTCAAAACTGTTTGATTATTAAAGTTGATTTCATTTTTTTATCAACTGAAATCTGTTACGAAAATCCTGCCATCAATTTTTATTTGCACCTTCAATCTCTCTTCGTCTTCTTTCCTACCCTATAATCAATTCCTTTACATTAATCTCTTCATCTCCTTCCATGCAAATTCGTCTTTTTCGATAGAACATTGTTGATTTAAAATTATATCCAAGAAGTCCCTAGCGAAGCCTTAAATCGCCAGTCGTCAGAGATCAGGGATCCAGACGAGGAGTTCTGACAGAGCAATCGCAGACGGAGAGAATGGAACTGAGAAGAGGTGGAGTACTAGCCAAAGGGGCAGATGCAGCGACACTTCTAGCTCTCCATTGTGAATCTGACCCAGATCCAGCGCACAAAAACCCAGATACCTCCACGGTTATGCTTCCTCTATAAGGAAAAAGAGAATGTAAAATCTGGTAGCCAAATCAATGGTTCTTCATCCTCTAAACCATGTAGTAATGGTTCTGATTTATCTAAAACTTTTGATCGATTACGGGATCTGTCGGTTATTGGAAATAAGTTAATTATATGTCTGGATCTATTAGCAATTTGAGCCGTAAAGCTGAGGCACATTGTGGAGTTAGCGACGAAACCAAGATTAATAAGAAGAACACCATAGCGAGAATGTCTGAAACCCATTCTATAATTGTGGATTTTCGACTTTCGAGAGGCATTGCACAGGTACATAAAAAATATATATAAGAAAGTATATTTTACATTATATCTTACTGGTGTTGAGGTATAGCTTCGGAACTCATAATCACTGGGCTCTTTTTATGTTCACCAGGTGAACGAAGGAAACTATATGAAAGCTATATCTACTTTTGATAAGGTGATGTTTTTTTTTAATCTCTCTTTTGTTTTCTGTTTCTCTATTTTACCTTCTTTTGGTAGAAATAAATGGTCAACTTTTTAACCATTTAGTTTATCTGTGTGCATAGGTGCTGAAAGAAGAACCTACTTACCCTTAGGCAATGATAGGAAAAGGGACAGCTTATGCATTCCAACAAGAGGTTGAAAATGCTATTAATGATTTTACTAAGGTATTTGTATATTTGACAAGATTTGTTACCATAGTATAACCAATTCTTCTCGTATTGGTCAGGCTATTCACTTGAACCCAGCAGCAGGCGAGGCCTGGAAGCAGAGAGGACAGGCTCGTGCTACTCTTGGGGAATTTCCTGAGGTTAGTGGTTCCATGTCTTCTCTACTTCTTTATTCAGAGCTAAAAGATGTATGTGTTTAGGCCTGTTTAGTGCATGCATTTTATGGGTAAAAATTCAGAGAAGCCCGAGCACACACTCAAGCATCCAATTTGAGCCATCGGAATCTGCCCACAATCCCCCCCCCCACAATCCCGCAGTAAAGCAGAGATGAAGAGCAAAAAAGAGAGATTGAAGCCACACCTGCAGTAGAAGCGAGTTCAACGAACCATGGAAGAAACTCCCTGGCCCCAATCCACTCCAAAAGATGCAGGAAGACGAAGAAGGAACCAATTTTCCACAATAAGCTGAAGGAAGCGGTGTACGGGGAAGAACTGGTCCAATTGTGGAGAGATGATAAAAAGAAAGAGGGTATCTGCGAAAGTCTTTCAGCTTTCAGTTTTGCCTTCCACTGCTCAGCATCCCTTGGTACTAATCTCAGGGTAAAGTTTATGCCTTTGGTTCCCTGATGATTGTATTAGAAACTTTATGCAAATAGTATTAGGAATAGTGAATAAAAAGGATGCAATATCTCTAATACTAATTCATGATATGCATCTGCTGGCCTTGAAGTTTATGCCTGCATGATTCTAAGTAGTATGAGGTTTTCGGTCTCTCATTATTAACTTGGTCTTTAGCCAAAGGAAATATAGCTAAAGTTCTTTTTCTGTTTGGGTTTGCATGAAAATTGATGTTCTTGATTCTTTATGTTTTATCTATCTCTCTCACTTTGTTTTGTACCAGAATATTTGATGCCTAACTATAGATTGAACACTCCTAACTAATAAACAGAAATGAGTATCTAGATCTTATTCACGTAGTGTGAGTGGTGTTCGTAATTGATTGCTATAAACCCGTTGATGTGATGATAAAGGTCATGGATATCTCCACGCTTGAGAAGTTACCATTATGTGATACAAAGGAAGAATTACTATTACTTACTTAAACATGTACGTGCTAAGACTTTTAAACCTATATAATGAGTTTTCTTTTTTAGTTTTCTTGTAGTGCTCAGGAATAGATGCTTAACATTCTTTCTCTATTGAAACTAGAGGCGGCTCAGAAGTAAAACAGTTCGGTGAATCATAAATATGTTTCAGTTATTAATTGTACCTTTTGCTTTTCCCATTACAATATGTGATTTATGTGGAATCTATGGTATATATTGAATTAAATTTGTTTAATTCCTACACTTTGGAATACTATCTGCGGTCATTAATGTTTGGGATCTTATTAGATGATAATCCTTTTTTGTGAATGAATTAAATGATAATCTTATTAGATGATAATCTCAGCCTCTAATAAACCTTTTTAATGGACATGTCATCAACTATATTCACCGAATAAAGCATAAAAGGTAGAAGGAGCATATAACATTAGTTTCTGTTTTGGTGAGAAATCTTATGAGCTATTTATAAACATATTGGCGTTAGGTCAAACTCTCTTTGCAGACATACAATTTGCTCTTTTAGTTGTTGCATAAAGGTCTGCTAAAACTTACATTGGTTTCTGTGGCTAGCTAATGGCAAGCATGGGTCATTGAACACACATGTTTCTCCTCAAGATGACATTTTCTGGTCTTGATGGCCAAACTGTGGGCAATAATGTGACCAACTTCTTAAATCTCATGCACATCGAGGACAAAGAGAGCAAGCAAGGATTGGTGGAAAACCATATAATGTATTTTGTTAACTTTTCTTACTAATATTATATATATATATATATATATATATATATATATATATATATAAATTTCAATAAAATACATCACAATTATTTCAAATAGTTTTGATTTGCTTTCATTTTTATAATTCTGAAACCAGTTCCAGTATATATCATATTTGTTTATTTTTTCAAACAAAAATACACAAAAGCAAAATTAAATTAAATTATAGAAATATATCCGGACGTAGTCAAGAAAACCTTCTAGTCTACTAATAATAACAATCCTCATTAATTCCAAAGGTTATGAATTCCTATCAAATTGAAAAGTTGTGTTTTAATTTAAATATTCCAAATTTACGTTTAAATAATGTGTCTTTTCAAAAATTAGTTTATTTGACCAAAGGTTGTGAATAATTCTCATTAAATTGAAAGGTTGTGTTTTTAATTTAAATTTTGTAAATTTATTTTGAAACAATGTGCCATTTCAAAAATTAGTTTATTTGAATAAATGTGTTTACTTTAAAAAAACAATATTTTTAATATATTGAATAAAATGTCTGTTAAAAAGTTAGTTCATCGGGTAAAGTGCCCACCCCTAACTATACATTATATCACATGCTCTAGAATTCTTGCGATTTGAAATAGAAGCCGAAGAGCTATGTCACATAAGATTGGAGTTATTTTTAATTTTTACAAACTTAAGGTTATAACTTTTTAAATGATTCTCAATTAATATATAGGGGATCTGTGGTTACTACCAAGTGAAAAAGAACTTCTAATTGAAATGACGATGATTCCATAATGATAGATTCATCTTTACATTGATCTTCATACTTCTTCATGTGTTGTTTCCAAAGATTAATAACTACAATTACACCGTTTTTCAATTTTCAGATTTCGCCACCGCATTGAGTAATCTTCATTTCACGTGGTTACTTTTAATTAGTACTCGTATTTGTTTCTCTTTATGATGAACTCGGAACTCATGGTTTATTATTATGGTTACTGGTGGTTTTTGTCCGGGAAATGCAGTGGGTGGTCCCCCCCCCCATTTTCCAAACTTTGGATAGATATGGGGTTTGCTTTTAAATCGTGACAAAGGGTTTGGAATGGAGTTACCATTGTTCTTATTATTTTGGATTTGACTGGTTATATGGTACAAAAAAATCATGTATCAAAGTTCGCTTATGGGGCAGAGTAAATGAAAAAGGGTTCGAGATTATTTCAGTTAAATCCAATTAAGAAAACCCTAAACATTCACCACAAAAAAAAAAGTTCGTGTCTTTTGGAAACAATAATAGATGAAGCGTCAGTTTGACGCAGGATGCATGGCCTATGACGTGGAACTGATGGTATTCAACTAACATACCGGAGAGAGGAGAATAAGGGAAGTGGTGCTTGGTTATGGTGAGCTGGGAGGGAGACAACGGAGTCGAGTGATAGATTTTAGTAGTCGGAAGCTCAAAGAACTCGAAATGTAGATCTTATTAAGAGAAATGTAATTACAAGAGTTTGTTGAATCTCGAATTACAAATCAAAACTTGAATCTCAAGATCTAATAACGATCTTGAGCTTAGACTCATGACGTCCAAGGTAATACTACAATCAAGCATAAAAGATCTAACAAACATCCACTCCTTTATTTATAGCAAACTCCAACGGCTTCAAGTCATAACGGCAAAGCTTCTCTTCGAAAACAAGTCTCCGCTTCCATTCAAAAACCCGAACCCTCCGCTTCATTCAGAGTCTTTCCCTCAAACCCTTTCTTCTTCCGAAAGTAAGCCCTTTGATACTTATCAATACTCCCTTCTTTGAAATCAAGCTTGTCCTCAAACTTGAAGTCTGGAAACTGCTGCACAAACTCAACATACGACAACCAAGAATTGTCATGAGATGGGCAACCCTTCCAAGACACCAATAACTCCAAATACCCCTCCTCGTTATAGCGCTTAGCAATCACAACCTCAGGAACCACCACCGCATCCAACTCTTCCAAACTCTCCAAAGGACATGGATCCACCTAAGAACAGTTACCCAAGGCGAGCTTCAACTGTGAAACATGGAACACAGGATGAATCTTAGAAGACGCTGGAAGTTGAAGCTTATAAGCCGTCTTCCCTACTTTGGCCAGCACATGAAACAGACCAAAGAACTTAGCAGCAAGCTTCTGACAAACCCTCTTGGCCACAGACTGTTGGCGATACGGCTTCAGCTTCAAGAACACCATATCCCTCACCACAAACTCAGCATCCCTTCGATGGCCATCTGCCGTTTTCTTCATCAACTCCTGAGCTCGAAGCAGATTGGACTTAATTTGCTCCAACATAGCATCTCGCTCACGTAAAGCTGACTCAAGCTCAAAGTTCTTCGTAGACCCTTCCTCAAAATGAACCAAAGCTGGAGGATCGCGTCCATATACAACCGAAAATGGAGAAGCTTTCAATGAGGTATGAAAAGAAGTGTTGTACCACAACTCAGCCCACGACAGAAATTTGTACCAAGTATGTGGATGAGATGAAGCAAAACAACGCAAATAAGTCTCCAAACAACGATTCAACACCTCAGTGTGCCCATCAGTTTGAGGATGAAAAGCAGTACTAAACTTCAATTTCGTACCCGACAAGCGAAAACTATCCGTCCAAAAAGCACTCAAGAATATACGGTCTCTATCTGACACAATGCTCTGAGGGAAACCATGCAAACGAACGACCTCTCCCACAAACTTCGTAGCTACATCAACCGTCGAAAAAAGATGTTTCAAAGCCAAGAAATGGCTATATTTGCTCAACCTGTCCACAACCACCAAAATGACATTGTATCCCTGAGACGTAGGCAAGCCCTCGATGAAGTCCATGGAGATATCATCCCAAACACGACTCGGAATTGACAATGGCTGGAGCAAACCAGCAGGAGAGAGTGTAGAAGACTTGTGCGTTTGACATATAGAACACTCGGACACATACTGTTGAACCGTTTTTGCCATACCTTCCCAATAGAAACTCTGTTGAATCAGCTTCAAAGTCTTAAGCACACCTGAATGACCCCCCAATTTGCTGTCATGACACTCAGTTAAAATCAACGAAATAAACCGAGACTTCTTTGGCAAGAACAACCGCTTCTTATACCATAGTCGCCCCTCCAAAATCTGATAGTTAGTATTCGTAATGCCACCCTCACTCACTCTCCTTTTCAACTCCAACAAACCCTCATCTTGATCAATCTTGAAAAATGTCATGTAATTGCAGAGCCGAAGGAACCGTTAAAGCCAACAACAATGATGTAGTAGAACCTTCCAGCTTTTCCATACTCCGAGAAAGACCATCTGCAGCTTTGTTCTCACAACATGGCTTATAGAAGATATCAAAATCATAACCCAATAATTTCGTCAACCATTTTTGATATTCCATATTGATCTCCTTCTGCTCTAATAGAAATTTCAAGCTGCGGTGATCAGTGTGAACCACAAACTTCCTGCCCAATAAATAATGCTTCCACTTCTGAACAGCCATTACCACTGCCATCAACTCCCTCTCATAAGCCGGTTTAAGCTTCTCTCTATATGTCAAAGCGTGACTAAAAAATGCTATGGGGTTTTTATCCTGCATCAATACCGCTCCCAACCCAAAACCAGACGCATCAGTCTCAAGAATAAATGGTTTAGTAAAATCTGGGAGAGCCAAAATCGGAGCTGTAACCATTGCTGTTTTAAATTTTCAAAAGCCAACTGAGCATCAGAAGACCAAGCGAACTTATCATGCTTCAACAGTGTAGTCAGAGGTTTAGCAATGATCCCATAATGTCGAACAAAGTGTTTACAGTACCCAGTCAAGCCTAAAAACCCACGCAGTTGCTTCACTGTCTTAGGAGATGGCCACACTCTCATAGCCTCAGTTTTGGTGATTTCAATAGCAACACCATCAGCCGAAATAATATGTCCCAAATACTCCACTTTATCAGTCCCAAAAACACATTTCTTCCAGTTTGCCAACAGAGAATTCTCTTTAAAAACTCTAAAAACTTCAGTGAGATGCTGCACATGTAATTCTTTCGTCTTACTAAACACCAACACATCATCAAAGAAGACCAACATGAATTTGCGTAGAAACGGCTTAAACAGCTTGTTCATCAGTGACTGAAACGTAGCAGGAGCATTGGTCAAGCCAAATGGCATAACCAAAAACTCATAATGGCCCTCTACAGTACGAAAAGCAGTCTTCTGGATATCTTTTTCTTCCATCCGAATCTGGTGATATCCTGAACGAAGATCAAGCTTGGAGAAGATCACTGCACCATGAAGTTCATCGAGCAACTGATCAATAACAGGGATAGGGAATTTATTGGGAACAGTAGCCCGGTTGAGGGCCCTATAATCCACACAAAAACGATAACTGTTGTCCTTCTTCTTTACCAATAAAACTGGACTAGAGAAAGGACTGGAGCTAGGTCGAATGATCCCTGCTTCCAACATCTCAATAACCATCTACTCCATGATAATCTTCGTGTGGTGAGGGTATCTGTACGGACGAACAGAAACCTGAGACACTCCTGGCAACA